TCAACGAACACAATCTAAAAACTTGCTACAACCCTCACAACTAATCCATAATTTATAAATGTTTCAAAAAAAAAGTTTAGGACAAGCAGCAACAGCATAAGCGGAATGGCATAATGCAAGAGACATGAAGGCTCTTCAAGTAGAAGGAGAAAAGGAGAAAAGGCATTACTTGACTGTCAACAAAAAGACAAGGTTTCTAATGATGGCCGTGCCTTTCCTTGACAAAAGTAGAAATAAGGTGAATTGGGAGACTGTTTCATAGATGGACGGAAGGCAGTGCTTACGTAATATCAGAATCAGGCTAATGGGGTAAAGGTTAAGGTTTTGCAAGAGAAGTAATACAAAGGCATTGACAGGACAATATGGATCTACAAATAAAAGCTGAGGAAGAAATAGAAGTTCATTAGCAGAGGTCAACACATCCTACCAGAGTTTTATGCATTTTCAAATGAAAAGAACCTTCCGTGTGTTTTCCCCAAATCATTGTATTCATGCCTAAGCCTTCCAAAGAGCATGTCAACATCCCTTGATACTTAGAAACTCCAAGACATTTCTATACATTCAACAAAAAGCAAGGTGCTGCATGATTGCAAGTAAAGATCTTCCATTGTCACATGCGCCAACAGCCACAAAAACCCACGAGTAACAAGATCAAGTCAGAGATGAATCAAAAATCTCTAAAATGATACTGTAGTTTGCACGAATAGATTTAATTCATGTCACCGAAAAGTAGACAGACAAAGATCTTGAAATTTCAAAAAGCTACCCACCTAACATATACCCTGGGTTCATCCAAAAGCATCAAACACTCCATTTGCCAGAAAAAACTAGCTCTAAAATATCCACTGTTTAAGATGAAAATAACGAACTGGACAGTATCTGGAACTAGACCGAATGTGCGCAGATACTTACTGTTAAGATTGCTAAAATGCAATATGATATGCTGAGATCTTATTTGACGGAGCTCAAAAGAGTTAGCAAGGATGGAATATTTGAGATGGAGGTTAATCCAACAACCAAAGTATTTGAGAGGTTTTATGTGGGGTTTGTCGAGTTGAAACGTGGGTTTTTAAAGGGATGTAGGCGTGTCATAGGCTTTGATGGGTGCTTTCTTAAGACTGGATTGAAGGATATGTTGTTGTGTGCTGTTGGACAAGGTGGAAACAATCAAATGTTTCCAATAGCTTAGGCAGTTGTCGAAGTTGAATCCGAAGCATCTTGGACTTGGTTTCTCACTTTATTATTCAATGACCTGATGGTGGGCAGAGCCAAAGGTTGGACTTTCATCAGCGATCAGCAAAAGGTAATATCTCGCCTTTTGTCTTTGTTGCTTATTACACGACACTAGTGCAATCATTGACGTCACTTGTTGCTTTTTGTTGGCTAATTTTGGTTGCAAGGACTAATGAATGCAGTTTCATGGCTAGCTCTACAAGTAGAGCATCGAAATTGTGCAAGACACATATATGCTAATTGGAAAAAATTGCACAAAGGGGATGCTCTAGAGCATCTCTTTTGGAGGGTTGTGAGATGTACATTTCAAACTGATTTTGACCTAGCAATGGCAGATTTGAAGATGGAGTGCCCTAAAGGTTACGAAGACTTCATGAGGCAAGGTCCTGAACACTTTTGTAGGGCTTTCATCAAGATAGGAGCCAAGTGTGATGCGGTTGATCATAACTTAAGTGAGACCTTCAATAGATACAATTGCATACCAAGAGAAAAACCCATGCTTGAGATGCTTGAAGAAATAAAAACGATGTTGGTGGAGAGGATGGCAGAGAGAAGTGAGTTAATAGTTGATCGAACGGATCTTATTTGCCCAAGGATTAGAATGAAGTTGGAGAAAACTAAACTAGAGTCTAGGCATTGTATTGCTAGAGCGGCAATGGACAATAAATTTCAAGTTCAAGTGTATGATGATAAATTTGTGATTGACTTGGATGGGAAGACTTGTGCTTATAGGGAATGGGATATCTCCGGAATACCATGTAAACATGTCATATGTTATATTACTTTCATGAAGTTAGATATCAATGAATATGTTGATGATTATTTCAAAAAAGAAGCTTATGAAAGATGCTATCAATATCCCTTCCCAGCCATGAATGGAAAAACCCCAAGTTAGTGGTGAGCCAATCAAACCCCCACCTTACAGAAGAAAAAAGGGGAGAGAGAAGAAAAATAGAATCAAGGACAAGGATGAGCGAAGTAGCGATGGTAAGAAATTGATGATAGATTCGAGCGAGAAGAAAGAGAGAGGAGACATATGAAGAAGGGAGAGCAATTGAAAAGCCAAACCCTAAAGCTCATCCAAGAAGACAAAGATTTTGTAAAGAATTTATCCATGTCAGCTTTGCATGGTGAATTTCATTGATGACGTGGAAATACCATGTGGGATCATTAACGGCCATATTGAAAAGAAAGTTAACGGTAGTAAATTTGGGACAAAAGTGAAAGTTTGGAATTTTTTAAGAGACAAAAAAAGGTTTAGGGTATAATTGAGACAAAGCCTAAAGTTTGGAGTTTTTTTGGGTATTGGGCCTAGTTTATTTTCATTTAGCAATTTGCGTTCATATTTACAATTGGCACTTTATAATTGGACGGGCATTAGTTTTTTTTTTTCCAATAGAAGGCGACAAGCTAGGCGCGAAAGCCAAATCATCGATTCCCATGCTTGAGAAGATGAAAGTGATTTGTATATAGAGGCCTGAGTCACGTTTAAAAAGAAGATGTAAACGGGCTCACCTACCTATCCGAACAATGCGGGAATTTAATAAATTTATAGATCCGAATGACAAGAATAGGATTTTAATGTTTAAAAACTTAATACGTAGTCGATTTGAAAGCACAATTCAACAGCCTAAACTTCAGCCTTTGTCACCAATGGGCGAGTTTCATCCCGACGCCCCTGTTGCGTGCGACAACGCTGCTGCTCCCTGCTCTGCCACCGCTGATCCTGCACTGCTGGTCCGCAATGCTTGCGGCCGTTGTGCCTCGTGGCTGTTCCTCAACGCTCTGCCGCACCCCCGACGGCTGCTGTTTGCTTCTGCTTCCTTGACGACCATCCAACGCAGCCGGGCTCCTTGTTCCGCGACAAGGAAACTCCTGCGCCATGAAGCTGCCGCCCCACTGTTTTGGCGACGAGCGAGCTGTGACCAACCCAGCAGTTTTCCCTGTCATGGCGACGACGACGTTGCTGTTTCCTGCTGCTGATCCGACGACTCCCGGTGACGCTGCGAACCCCCAGTCGAACTCAGCGACTTCGCGGCCCCAGCACCGGTGAACCTTCACCGAGCCTAGCACTGCCTCACGACCACTGTGCCGGACACGAGCAGCATCACGGTCTTGACGTCTTCTAGCCTGGCATCTATCTGCATATTCCTCTTCTATCTTACCGAGAACACCCTGGCGCCGTTCGTTCATCTCAGTCAAGCATTGCGCCGGTGAACCTCGGTGGGAATCTTAACCGAGAATCCAAGTGGCGGACAGTCAAGGATTGAAGGGAAAAAGTTTCAAAAAGAAAGACAAGATCATAAGATCAGGGAGGAGGCCATATGGTCAGAATTCTTGAGCACGCAACGTGGGTTTCTAAAGGAATAAAAAAAGGACGACTCTTCTTCCACGATCATGATTGGACGAATTCCTACTTCTGTCTCCCGTGTGTTGCCGTTGCGCCTCACCTCGTTATGGCGCCTATTTGCTCTCACATGCATGCCCAACAACTGCCGTTGCCGTTGCTCTGATCATTGCGGTGTCCCATTCGCACTAGTCCAGCCACGGGCGAGACTCTGACCACCGAGCGCCAGCTACCACCGGCCAACCGCCCACAAGCCGCCCATCCACCAGTTTGAATTTGGAAACAAATCTCCAAAATTAGATAATAATCCTCATCCGATTCAATTGAACATTTCATTGCCTATTTGGTGTATATCGATATCTAACCAAATATTTTTTTAGTGATAAGAGGAAAATTTCAAAGGGCTATTTTCTCAAAAAAAGGAGTTTGTTTCAAATAAGGGCCCAAGTCAATCTCATATTAGGGCCTGAACTCGTCAGCCAGCCCAATGATCGCCCGGCCGGTGACCAAGTGATTTTTCCGGCGACTGGAACAGGGGTACTTTTGTCAAAATAAAGTTTAATAAATTGCAATCTCTGAAAATGAAAAGCCCCTCATATTACTTCTTTCTAATACTAGGAATATATCGATGCCATATTGGCCTTCCGTGACATTGCAACTCTTGCATCACAACGAAATTTTACAGGAAATTCACAAGACTTGCCATCCCGAACTTCGGATGAGCAACCTTTGAGCACATTAGGAAGTGATTCGTCGATGGAGATGGCAATCTCAAGTTGATCTAAAAGCTCAAGCAGTGCCTAACAGGATAAGGAACGAACGAGATAAGCCTGGTGATACGACCAGCAAAATGTCCTAAGGAGTAGTTTTCGACATCTTTTTTTTTAAGTTGCTTTATTTTGAAAATAAAATAACCTAAAATTTATACTTCATATATTAGTAATATCTTAGATGAGGATTTTGACATCATCTTAATATCTTACAATAGGAGCAAAACATAATTATAATGGAGAGAATAATCTTTGAAAGTAAAATCTACACATCATAAAATGTTTTCCGTCTCACTTTCAAGTACAGTAACATGCAACCGAAAACTAGTGATTCCTTGAAAATCATTTTCATAGAAAATATTTCTCTCCCTTACGAAGTTTTTCACGAAACAAAGAGACCCTAAAATCTTATAATGACTTGTGCACTTTGCTTTCATTTCTTGTATTTGGGGAACTTCAGAAAATGCCTTGTTACTATCAAACATCTCAAATTTTAGTAAACATATCACTATCATCTTTTAAGTCATGTTATAGAAAACCAAAAAAAGTCACTTGTTGGATCAACATTGGGCGCCTAAATTAAGGTTCACTTACCAATGTTTTAGCCTACTCGTTTGGTATGGTGAAAAGGTAGTATGTGATCCCATCTCTAAACACAAATTCGTGTTCTTTGCAGCTTGTCTTGTAGCTATATTGGCTTCAAGATTTTGTACAGTCACCGTGGACGGTAACATAGCAATCTTGGCATTAACTAGTAACTACAACACATCACCCTTGGCGCTGCCAGTTACAGCAAGTGGTGATCTTACAAGCGAAATGACGGCCAGGAAGGAAACACTCTTCTATCCTCAATTCTCAAATTCCAAGTGGCACAAAAATGGAACTTCTGATCTCTGAGTCATCTGCAAATCCACAAAGGATAAATGAGTACAGGCAGTTCGGGCACTTAAAAGAGCGAAGGGAAAGGAAAACATAAATCAGAGCAACAGAGCAACTGTTGCCTGTAGCAAAAGGCGCAACCTTCAACTTCAAACATGGCGTATGGTATCTCATAACCTGAGAACTTTCAATCAACTCTAGTTTTCCTCTCAATACTTGATTTGCTGAGAATAAGCACACCAATTACTATGAAAAGTGCACCTGCAAACCACTAAGAACAGGACTTTATGTGAATTTTGGGAAATCTACATTCATAGACTAGGTAAGTGGAGTGAGAATCTCAAATCATGCCTCCTTTGATCACAATTTCACAACCATATCACAACCATAATGTGAGTCAAGATAGCAATGATTAAACCTAAAACTCAAGTCCTTATCAGGAACTAGGAAGGACTCGACACCTTTTATTGAGAGGTGGAGACTACACCAAGAATCCCTGAACAACTGGTCAAGCTATTGCCATGAAGCTTCCTTAGCAACCACATTAATCTCAGAAGCTTTCATCTAAAATATAAAACCCTCCTCCATTTTCTTATTCCCCAATTATGACGGCATAATTAACCTCAACGCATTCTTCAGAGAATAAATTCCGAAGTTATCTCTTGCATAATTTGACTCCTGACTGTTATCCTATTTGCCACTTTCAAGATAACCAGTTCCCATTCTCCATAAAGAGAATTCTTCTCTTGAATTAAATGAAATGCAGTCATGATATTACTTGTATCTGTGAAAAAAACTTTTGATAGCTCTATGCTATAACAATAGGAGCTTGCAGCAGATCCAGATTTGATGAAGCCACATCTTACTTTAAACACAATAAACAATCAAAGCTATAAGTACATAAGTTTGCAGAACAGGGCAGGAAAATAGTTAATCAAAGTACCTGAAATCTCAATGATTCATCAAACAAAAAGAACCCAGCTAATCCAGAAGTGAGGAAATTTGTCGAGAAGTTTGTAACCGTGGCTTGAAGAGATGAGAGACTTTTTAGGCTGTTGACATAACACCCCCACATTGTGACATTGAATAGTATGACAAAACCATACTTAATGACCTGCTAACAAAATCGGATGTTTGGGCATTAGTCCAGGAAAAATATGTCCGAGTTCATGAACTGCACAATTTATTAACAACACCCATCTAACAGCAACAATTACTGAGAAAAACTCATCACGATGATGTATCATGACTGAATAAATGCTTAACTATGCATCTTAGATAATCAGTAAACAAATGAAAAAAAATTTCTAAAAATTCTGCCCCTACAGTCAAAAGAAATGGAGGAAGAGAAGGAGGATGAGGAAAAGATTCCTGTCAAATAATTGGCTTTAGTGCAGAGAAGTGACCAATCATTGTCTAAGTTTAAGGAATCTAATTAACTGGACTCAGATATAGAAACTTTTTCTCACGCAGAGAAACAAACGTCTAATTCTCTTCACATAATTGTGACAGGGAACAACAATTTAACATTTAAGTTTGACACAACCAAACGAACTCCATTCATCATCGGACTCAACTAGTTCACCGCAAAAGCACCAGATCTCAGACTGAGTTGATTAGGAAATGCTAATATCCGCAGATGATAACACCACACATATCCACTGGGGAAAAGAACAGCAACAGTAAATAATTGAACCACATTTCTCCATCTTCTCTCTGTTCTCCTTCTTCGTCCCGGTGAAGACATAAACCTCACAGATAACATTCCAGTCTGGAAAGCTCACATTCCAGAAGATGCTTGTACTGTAGCTATCTAGTCAGAGTTTCTCCGGAAGCGCCCACCGCCCCCCGCCCACCTGCCAGCCCGCCCCGGGTGTTCAGTGTGTTTCCTATTTCCTATGTTATATTCGTCGAAATTTCATTTAAAAATTTCTACATCCCCATCTCATAAACTGAGATATTGCACAAATTTTCCTAAGCTCTTCCCTTAACTTGAAACTCTCGTCTGCCACTTGAGTCGGGCATCGACTGATTGCCACGACATGCCGCTCGGACAGCTTCCAAGCGTTTATTGTCTGTAATCTATTCAACCAATCCACCCAGAGGTAGTGAAATTGGCAGGAGCTTTCCTCAATTAGAGCTCCCACTACTCCTTATCCAACCAAAATCGAACGCATCACCGTGTAACGGCTATCGGCCGCAACTCACATCGCACCACACGATGCCGAATGCTTTCAGCCCGAATCCAACACAACCTTAGATTTCAAATTGGATTCGCTGGAACAATCGCGCAGTATCGAGTGCCAAAGCAGAAAGGCGGGGGCAACTACGGATGGCTCGCATGACTGAGCGCGATCGAGGATGAGGGATGAGGTTTGAGTTACCTGAGAAGAGAAGAACTTAGCGGAAATGGCGGCGAGAGCGGCCATGAATCCGGCGGCGATCGCCCACGCGTAGCCTCTCCTGATGCGAATCCCCATCGCAGATCGCCGAGGAGATTTGCAACGGAGCGGGGAAGATGACGAACGATCCGCCATGATCTTGAAATCAAAGGCTCGAGCTCCGATGCAAGGCCGGTGTCTCGAGCCCATGGCATCAAGCCCAACATCATCCAGCCCTAGGGCCCACGGTGGAAGTCGAGTTAAATTTCGGAAATGAATTTTGATTTTTTAAGACGGGTAAAGTAACATTGGGAATTTTTAATTTATTTTTAATTCTTTTAAGGGGACCGTTTGTATTAACTCATTTTCTTGCAATATTAATCACGAATAATGAAGCGACTCGAGAGAAGGTTTATTGTGCCCTATGTACGGCGGTTGATTTAGTCCTAAACCTTTGAAATGTGTCGATACAGTCCTAAAGCTTTTGACAATTTGCCAATTTAGTCATTCCAATTAATTTTGGTCGGAAATCACTAAACGCAGACGCCGGCCATCCTAAATATGACATTGACAATTTTCATTAATATTTTATTTTTTTCTACTCTTTTCTTTTTTTCCTTTTTCCTTCTTTCCTTCCCTTTCCTTTTCTTTTCTTTCATTTTTCTTTTTTCTTATTTCCCTCCTCCAGCCAGGGCTGGGCCAATGGCAAAATGAAGAGCGGCGAAGAACTTGTCAGAGTTACCTGGAAAAACTCGGAAAAGAAGTTCTCGTGGTAAGCCAATGGCAGGATCGTCCTATTATTCTAAAGAATGTACAAATGAAGGTCATCAACAATGCATTAGTTCTTCGAGAAAATCAGACTTGAGTTGGAGGATTGAAAAATTTATGACTCAATTGACAAAATTTGAAAATGTTTGACACTCAATTGACACAATTAAAAAGTTTATAACTTTTTGGACAATTTTCCCATTAATAATAAGTAGTGCACTTATGATAATTATAGTCGATCCATTTCAAATTCTTAAATTAATGTTTCTTTTTAATCACAAATACATCTGTTAGTACACAAAATTCTTAAGTATAATTTTTTTATATTTACATTAAAACGTCGCAATACTTTGTAAAATATCACGAAATAAAAATTCATAAGCAACAGCATTTCGCTTTTGATTGTAATGAAACCATTTCATCCTTCGTAAGATATCTTGAAATAATCAGAAATACATTTTAAATTTAATGAGAAGGCTCGAGTTTTACAAAACATCGCAAAACTCGATTTTCTTTAATCTCACGACGCTAGGATATATATTTGTAATCAAGTGAAATGTCGTAGATATTGATTTTTTTTTGTTTTAAAACGTTAAGCGGTAATCAACTAGTTAGTAATATTCATCTAAAAAAAACTAGTTAGTAATAAATAAAATAAAATGGATTTTTACATAATTTCATGACATTAATATATTTTGTTTCGCTCAACCAATCACAACAGTCCAACAAAAAAAACATAACATAAAAAATAATAATAATAAGCCCGAAAATATATTAAGAAGAAAAAAGGATCATCGCCTTCTTTCTTTTACTATTCATGGAGAATTGACTCGAGTTTTAGGGCAAGGAAGAAGGAACGGGGATAACGGCTCTATTGACATGGACGCCTACTCTTGGCTTCGAAATATATTTGGAGTTCGCCTATAAACAAAAAAGATAACTTTTTCTTTTTACTATGTGTTCAGTGCATCGTGCAATCAGCTAGAAGAGTTATGGTCAAGTTGGGAAGTGTTTTTATTTAGTTATGCTCACAATAAACACACAAAATGCGGTAATGCCGAAATGGTTTAGTTCTACTATTATGAGATATCTTGAAATTCATTCATGCTTTTGCGACGTTGATGCTCAGGCACATCAACCAATTCATGAAGAGAGTGAAATTGCTCCTCACTAATGAAGTTACACCAATTCTTGTTTTCGATGGAGATCACCTCCCAATAAAGAAGGAAAAGGATGAAAAGTGTGCAAAGTATGTATTTTTAGCTCTTTAACTTACCTTCGAGCTCAAACCCAAAATGTTTAATTGTTTTTTCAAATCTTATATTCACTTATCTACTTATCTTATTGGTTTTTAGCAAATCCTAAATAATAAAGAGTTGTGCATCTTTCCCTTTGTACATGATATGCACCTTTTTCTCCCTTAAGTGTTGCAGCTTATTTAAATAAAATAAAACTTATGTTTGTCTAGGCATCTCCTCTTCACTTTTGTGTCCTAAGCTCCTATATATCCAAGCTAGAGTTATAAAGGTCTATGACTACCTTGCTTACATAGGTCGAGGGAGAAAAAACTTGCTCTTACTAAGGAAGAGAAGACAAAAGGAAACACTAGAGCTGTTGAATTTTTTTATAAAAATGCGATTTTTTACAAAATGTTGCAAAATGCAATTTTTTTAACCTTACGACGCTAGGATATTTATTTGTAATCGAGTGAAATGCCATAGATATTGATTTTATTTTTATTTTTATTTTGTTTTAAAACGTTATGTGGTAATCAATTAGTTAGTAATAAATAAAAAATGGGTTTTTACATAATTTCATGACATTAATATATTTTGTTTCACTCAACCAATCACAACCGTCCAACCGAAAAAAGAACATAAAATAAAATTTAATAATAAGCCCAAAAACATATTAAGAAGAAAAAAAAAGACCATCACCTTCTTTCTTCACTGTTTCGTGGAGAACTGATCAGGGCTTTAGGGCTAGAAAGGTTGCTAGGTTGCCGGGATGCCTACCCCTAGCTCCACATAGGCACACTAACCTGTTCAGAGGAGTTTCGTGGTGTGATGATTCATTGGCTCTGGTTTACGAGTCTTGGTACAAGACACGGAGGACAAGAACCTGGGTTATTTCTCCTGGATCCAAGGACACAAATCCTCGTATACGGTCATCTGAAGATGCGTACTCGGATCCTGTCCTATTGAATAGGCATTCACGTAGGCAAAAGAAATGGGGATAGTAGACATCCACGTAAGAGATCTAAAAGGTTACTCGGTTATCGTGGACGCATACTCTTATCTCTACATAGGCACACTCACTTGCAACGAGGAGCTATTCCAGGTTTTCCCAAATTTCTTGTAATTTCTTGCATTTTTTGTTCCTCCTAGTCAGTTGCATTTCCCCAAATTTCTTGCATTTCTTTTCCAAGTTCGTAATTGGAAATGCGGTGATAGATTTATCACGAAAATAAGAAAACCTATTACGAAATGAAGAAAACCTTTTCTTTGAAATGTTTTTAACAAATCCTTTGTACATAATAGGGGCATTTTCCTCTCCCAACTGTTAGAGCCTATGTGTTGACTACGTGTTGTTCACGCATCTGCGGTGTTTGATTCTCAGGCACATCGACCGCTTCTTGAATAGAGTGAAATTGCTCTGGATCATGAAGTCATACCAATTTTTGTCTTTGACGGAGATAACCTCCCAATAAAGAATGAAGAGGATGAAAAGCGTTCAAAGTATGTTTTCTTAACTCAAACCCAAAAAGTTCAATCGTTTTTTCGAATATTTAATGTGTTTACTGGTCAATTTATCGTATTGATTTTGAGCAAATCCTAAATAATAACATATACATGCTTAAGATCTTGAAATTTTAGAAAGCAACCCAAATAACATATAAAAATGCGATTTTTTACAAAACGTCGCAAAACGCGATTTTAATCTCACGACACTAGGATATTTATTTGTAATCGAGTGAAATTCCATAGATATTGATTTTATTTTTATTTTTTTTGTTTTTAATCAATTAGTTAGTAATAAAACAAACTTTATTATATACGGCATGGGTTTTTACATAATTTCTACGGCATGGGTTTTTATATTTTTTCTACGGCATGGGTTTTTACATAATTATTTATTTATTTGTAAACGTTGATTTTGTTTTTTGACCAAAAAACATTATTTAGCAATAAATCAAACAAAATGGGTTCTTACATTATTTCATGACATTAATATATTTTGTTTCACTCAACCAATCATAATAGTTCAAATCCAAATTGTTCGATTATTTTTTTGAATGTTTAGTGTGTTCACTTGTCTACTTATCTTATTCTTTTATAACAAATCCTTTGTACATAATAGGGGCATTTTTGTCTCCCAAGTATTAGAGCCTATTTAAATAAAATAAAACTTCTGTTTATCTAGGCATATCCCCTTCACTTTTTTGTGTCCTAAACTCCTAAGCTTAGTCATCGAAGGTTTATGACTACCTTACTTATATGGGTCTAGGGAGAACAGACTTGCTCGTGCTAAGGAGGAGAAGGCAAAAGGAAATACTAGAGCTGCTAAAAAATTCTATAAAAATGCAATAGGCATAATGCCTTCTATAGCGCACTAACTAATAATGGTATCAAAGATACTCCTAGTATCATTCCTAATGAATTTATCGCATCCTGATTGGTATGTTAGAAGATAACCTTGCCCCCACAATGCACGATGTCATGTTACGACGCTGGGTTATGAACCCATTCACATGAATCTAATAAGTTAACCGCCAAAAAAAATGAACGAAAAAAAAAAAAACTTCGAAGAAAGAGGTCTATCGCATGGTGGACTGTTCTACTTTTATTGTTTTTTTCACCGTTTATAAGAAATTGAGCTGGGCATATTCTTTTTTCACCAAAATGTGGAGAACACACCCTTTCTTCATCACTGACCGTGGGAACAATGGGAGTCAAGGGACTCATGTCCCAGGTAGATTGGGCCCTGGAAGACACTCACGTAGAAAGATTGAAAAGCCTACATGTTGTTGTGGACGGCCACTCTTGGCTCCACATAACCGCACTCGGCAACTGCGAGCACCTGTGTGAAGGCAAGCTCACTTCCCAAATTTCTCGCAATTGCTCGCATTTCTTGTTCCTCCCCATCTATCGCATTTTCCCAAATTTCTTATCCCTATTCGTAATTGGAAATGCGGTGATGTGCTTAGTATGAAATCTAGTTTGAGTTCGCCCTGGAAACAAAAAAGATAAGCTTCTTTTTTTGCTATGTGTTGTTCACGCTTCTGCGGTGTTTGATTCTCAGGCACATCGACCGCTTCTTGAATAGAGCGAAATTGCTCCTGGATCACGAAGTCATACCAATTTTTGTCTTTGACGGAGATAACCTCCCAATAA